CTATCATAGGCTGAAAGAAAATTATAAATGGCATGGTATGAGGCGAGACATAAAAAAGTTTATCAGAAACTGCAAAGAATGCCAAGAAAACAAAGTGAATCGGCGGCCTATTAAAGCACCAATGGAAATCACCACAACATCACCACAACCATTCTATCGCGTTGCTCTAGACATAGTGGGTCCACTACCATTAACCATAAACGGAAACAAGTACATCTTGACCTTCCAAGATGACCTAACAAAATATTCGTATGCCCAGCCTATTAAAAACCATGAGGCAAAAACGGTTGCTGACAACTTCGTCCAATTTATAATGATATTTGGAATCCCAAAATCAATACTTACCGATAATGGTACCGAATTCCTGTCTAATATCATTAAGGAAGTAAATAAAATCTTTAAAATCAGACACATTACAACTAGTCCATACCACCCACAGACAAATGGCGCACTAGAACGATCACATTCAACCCTAAAAGATTACCTAAAGCACTTTACTAATAAAAAACAAGATAACTGGGATGAATATATTGCAACGGCAATGTTCTCGTATAACACTGCAATTCACTCCGATACACAATTAACTCCTCACGAACTCTTGTTCGGTTTTAAAGCAATCCTTCCCAACTCAATAACGGGACCTGTGTCTCAACGATATTTATATGACGACTACCATCAAAACCTAAAACTCAGACTAAATAAAAGTTTCCAAATAGCCAAAGAAAACTTAGACCAGGCTAAACAAAAATCGAAACACTGGTATGATAAGAATGCGAATAACAGAGAATTTAAAGTTGGCGAACTAGTCTATTTGAAAGACAAAAGCGTCCAACCGGGTACCACAAAGAAATTATCAAAAATTTACACGGGCCCATACGAAATTACCAAAGTAAACCAAAATCAAACCGTGGTCCTTAAAATTAAACAAAAAGAAAAAACGTATCACAAAAATCTAATAAAACCATGCTGACTTGGATAATACCATAACTGCAATTATGTTCGCAAAGCAAAATATTCTCCACCCATCGATCATAAGCCCCACATTATATTCGAAAAGAATTACCTTTCCCAAATACCCGCGAAAATCTATACAAATTCCTATCCATAACCACAATCAAAACATTTATTATCGAGGACATATTAATATTTTCAATCCAACTACCAATAACATCAAAGCAAGACTTTCTCTTATACCAACTAATACCACTCCCAAACTTCTCCGGTCGTCCAGGAATCCTTTCATATGTAAATCCTGTTCAACCGTACATGTTAATTGATGCAGCAAGTAACAAATATAGCATGCTGGCGGATTTGTCAACCTGCAAGACATTTCATGGCAATGAAACTATCTGCGAATGCCACACTATATACTCTGCGGCAACATCACCCATCTGTGAAGTTATGCTAAAAGATCCAGCAACTTCAACAATTCCGGAGGACTGTCACACCATCACTACAAGAGCAACAATGGAAATTTGGACACCTCTAGATCCAAACTCATGGATGTTCATAGTGACCAAGAACTTATCAGCAACTATAGTGTGTAATAAAGTGAGAAAATCAATAGTGATCTGTGGCACCGGAATTTTAACACTAGATGCACAATGCAAGTGCTATACAAAAATGGTGACCCTAACCCCAAAGACAATTATAAACACTAAGCATATAAACTCACATAACCATTTCATACCAACCGTTAATATAAGTAATGATTTATGTTGTAAAAATAAGGCAAATTACATAGAAAACCTAAAATTAGAAGCCATACAATTCAAGGGCACCGACATTAATCAACTAAAGCTAACCAAACACAAATTAGAATTTTTCGATAACATGTTGCAAGCAGAACTATCAAAGGAAACAAGAAAATATGAAGCAAAGGGTCTGTCCATTGCCATCGTATCAATCATTATTGCCGGAACAACATTTGCTATTTTTATAATTCGCACCATCACAAAACGTAAAAGAACTAAGAATCACAACACCCAATCTCCCATTAATTTAACTGTGGTAAATCAAACGAAAGAGGACATTGATGCCACAGAAGATAAGAATCATCCGGAAACCAACGTGCCTTCGGGACGAAGGGAATTCTCTTTATAAGGGGGAGGAGTGTTACGACCGTTGTCCCATAGCAATAGAGTAATTAGCGATTAGACATTTATATATCATATTTACGTACAAGTTAAGTTTCCAAATAATGTATTTTTCCTATACCGTATTTGCTTCCGCTAATCTGTTGAACTTAGACTTAAATCATTAGCAGACGTACGTCATAAATCGGACTCTTGTACATGACGTATTAGAGAAACACATATTAAATAGGAGTAAAGAGAATTAATAAACTAGTATCTTTCCAAATTTCTTGTGTGCATCATTTACTGAGCAGCTAGTCTGTGTAACCAAAGTCGCAACGTCGACTAGGCCACAACAATTAGCAGTATTAGAATAATTCTTTCGAAAATAGATTCCGAATTAAATTCTACAACTAGTTATGAAAATATTATATTGATCCGCGTATTACTTAAAAAGTTATTAATAATTAAAGTTGGAATTTGTAAAATGTTCTAAAATTCAGTGAAATTTATCTGAACTTCTGATTTAAAAATGATTACCAATCAAATCTTACATGGTGTGTTAAATATTTAATGCTTAATCAACAATTAAAAACATACTCATTAATAAAACTTGATTAATATTAATGACATAGCTGAAACCATAATAAAGAAGCCGCAGTGACAAAAAACCTCATACACTTTTAGAATTAAATATAAAACAATATCTATCTGTTTGAATAATGCCATTGTTTATAGAAAAACACATCGCACGTGTCTGATTCATTGGTGGTCGCATCTTGCTGCTCTGGCGGCTCGTGCCGTTTGCGTAACCGCATTCACCTGCGGCAGTAAAATGAGTTAAAGCAAAATAATGAAGAATGAAGCGTTTTGAAGAAAAGAAGCACGGGGGAGTCAACAATGCGTGGCATTGTTGTTGGCCGGGTATTTTTACAACAGCCGGATGTCCGTGCGCGGAGCACGCGTGCGGCCCCGTGCGCCCGTATAATTAGTTTTCTAATGGGCCGCTTTTTCCATCTAATTATGGCCTTTCTCTAATTGCGCCGAGCCGAGCTTATAATTATGCATTTTCCTACAAGTTTAATGTCGGTCGGATGGGGAGCAATGCCATTCGCACACTTGTTATGTAAGATTCTTAATATAAACTACAGATTACTATAATAATGGTAATATTGTTAAATAAACTTCATGGTTACTGGAAGGTACTATATAAACCTGGTTTAAAAAAATACTATGAATAACAAGTTGTAAACAGATATCAATTAGTACATCAATAGCTTCATTAATTATTACGTACGTACAACCAGATTATTTTTAGAAGCAAAATAATTTAATTTTTAATGACGGGTGAGTTCGTTATGTTAGTTTTCCAGAATATTTTATATTCATTGTTTTATATTCCATATTATTTCTCTTTTATTTTTGTAGTTATAATGATTATCTATATTTTGAAACAATTTCTGACCATTACATATTTTTGTCCGCACACCTCAAACACAACGCGATAGTACTTGTTCCTAGCCATGCATAAACTCATGCAAATTTCACTTCTAGTAATATTTTAGTTAACATTTTACCATATTAAATACTAACGCTACCGTATTTTACAATATTATCCAATTTTAAATTTTAACACCGCAAAATCAGCTTTAATGTATGCAACCCACACAGCAGCAAACAACGTTTTTCTTCACTTCTCAAGTTACAACATTTCCTGCTCATTGGTACTTTCTCATCCGCGCAAATCAAACAATTCTTCTTTCAACAAGGACCAACAAATATTTGCATATACAATATAGTTACGTAACGATATTTTTTATCGTATTGCACATATAAAACAATCGAAGACGTGAGAGTCGTAAACAAAAAAATCGAAATGGCGGAAAGTAAAAGTAGGCGAAGATCGATGATGATCGCATCACAACAAGGTATGTAATTAACTTTCAAATTCAAAATACAACTTATGTACACATTAGAAACTTTGATTCAACTCACGAAGGATGGCAAATCATTATTGCTCATCGCGCGGCGACGGTGGAAATGTGTGCGATGTTCTGTGTGCATGGAATAGCGCGGTAACATTCTTGACCTTTAACTTTCAACTCACTGAGAGCAGATATACGCCGCGGCGATAAAAAAACACGACCGGCGGACAGCGCATAAACACCAATCGAGACACAATAAATGACTAAATATGTAAACACATTAGAAATATTTTGATACACCGACGAATGCAAGTAATCAAATGTAAAGCTGTTGCTGATATGTTGGTACATACAGCATCCGCGTGTAAACAATGGACGGTCAAAAGCTGATGAGCTTTTGTTTTGATTTTTGCGTTCACGTTTGAATTAATTCAGCAATCAAATGTGTTGCTTTGTATGTACTGACCTGGCATGCCACTGTTGATTTGTCCCATGGCTACGTTGTCCACATATCGCGAGAATGCACACGAAATCACATCGCCGGGCGATTGTTTTTGACTGCGCGGCTAATAAGCGATGAAACTTGTAGCGTGCAATGGAGCTTTGCTTTATTGATACGCGATCGCGGTTGGCACTGTTCGCGGCTCGGCGGCGTGCATGGGCATTCTGTGTATTTTCGGAAGAATGGGAAAAAGCTCCGGCTCGAATTGTATGCGCACAGCTGAGTCTGAGCTGAGAGTTGCGAGCAATTCGGAGAGATACCGCACCGCGCAGCAGGAAAAGCAACAATCGCAGAGATTGCAGGAATTGGAAACGTTTATTTAACATAGGCAACCCAACATACACATTGGTTTACGTTTAAATATTTATTTTTCACCTTGACGTAAATATATTTGTCTGTTAGACATCAAATATTAATGATTATTGGCAGTAGTTATGTTGACAAAGTCTTGGGTACGTTGTGAAGATAAAAATGAAGGTAAATAAACAAAACACTCAATTTGTTTTGTTCTACATCTATTTATGCAGATATATTACGTCGTTCTTATTCGTGTATAGTATATGTTGCTTCGTTATTCAGTTATCAGTTAATATATAATTAAATATTACAACATATAAGTTACTACCAACTAAAGTACATATACATATATAAATATACAGTCCTTAATTTGTAATTTATTTGCAAACATATTTGCGTTTGTATCAGGTTTCCGTAATAGCTTTGTCTCTGGGCAAAAATGAGGCGTTTACATCGATGGTACATTGTTCGGGAGGCTCTTTAAACAAAAATAATACTATTACGTGTTAATACTTGAGCAGCAAGTCAACATTTAGTTTCGAGCGGGCGATAAATGAATGAACAATACGTGAATTGTGAAATTATTACAGTACGAACAACATGCAATGACACATGAACAATTTGTTTTCACCCTGTATTATTTTACCATTTTGCTGATGTGACTCTGGCTAACTTGTAACTTTCTTATTATTCGCTCCGTTTTACGTTTAACGTTTACGTCTTGGCTTAGCTTTAACGATTTTTATAAATAGGTACGAATATATTCATTAGATTTTAAAAAATGCGATTAATTTTATTTTAATAGATTTATTGTTACGTGTTTAGGTTTAGGAATAAATAGTTTTTCGTCTCTCTTTCGCTAGGAATTACGTGGCTTCCATCAAACTCGGTATGACTTGTATCTATTCGTACGTTCCTATATTATGTTAAATTTTATGTTCATATTTATAAATTAAACCATTCAAAATTCCTGTTTTTTGGGGGGAGCGATAAAATAAATAATAACTCTCTACACTTAAAACGAAACTTCTATAAAACGTATAAATATGGCTCTGTTAGTAATTATTTTGTAGCTTTGTTTGTTTAGTCAAGTTTTTGCTTTTCGTCTGAATAAAATTAGTAACGAGTAATGCCGCTATTCACAATTCTGTCAAAAGAAACAAGGAGCAAAATAAATTCGTTGTGTTCGTTTTGCATTAATTTGAAAAACGCTGTTTTATGGGTGGGGACGAAACAAGGAGACTCTCACCACCATTGCATCACCTCCATGCGCACGAGAATTTTTTGCCGTATCCACAAAATGAACAGGTAGACGAACGCCGTAATGGTAACGAAGTACAGGAACGCCGGCAGCAGACAGAAGGAGTCATGTCTGGGCGCGAGGCGCGCCTTCAGGTCAAAGTTCGGCGTCTCATAGCTCTCGACGACGACCTCCTCATCGGCGTTGTGGGTAAAGCGGCGTGGCGTATTTGCGTCCACATAGAAGGTCAACTTGTACGGTTCATCCTTGCTATTAAGTAAACTAGTTCTATTGAGATCCTCGGTCATGGCAGCGTGGCGTGGAGCATCCAGGTCGATGGAGGAGGTGGCATTGTCGGCGGGCGCGTCGTCAGAATTGTGAGTAGCGACGTGCGTCAGTCAGTAGCATTTCTTCGTGCACGCGCACTTGCGCACGATGTCTATGTCTTTGGTGTAGCGCGTCCCGTCGTTGCAGATGAGGCGCACCTGAAACGCCGACTTCAATTAACATCAGCATGTAACTCTAACTTCATCTAATACATACTTTTCTTCGCTTGCTTTTTCGCGCGTGGCAGCAGCTGGAACCACAACTGCCAATGCACTTGGCCATCTTCAATGGCTTCCTGGATCTGCATCCATTCTCGGAGTAGTATTCCCTTACTTGCTCCTTACGGCAAGTTGGAGCTAAACATTGACAAGCAGTAGATAAATAATCATGATGAATCAATTCAGGAAGATGATAATGTGTTTACATTCATAAAGCCACCGTTAAATGCAACAAATGAATGAGGACATGAATAGTTAGTACCTGATCTCCCCGTGATCTTTATACTTACACTCTTCCTCACCTTGCTCGCAGTACTTGCCCTTATACCCTGGCCGGCAGCGACAGGTGTATTCGCCATTGCGGGCCGGAATGCATTTACTGTCATGCTTGCATTGATTCATGGAACAAGCGTCTGGAGGGCTCGGAGGCTCCTCTACCATTACATCCATATCATCTTCTTGTTGCTCTTCATCGCGTTCAGTTTCACTGTCCATCATCGTGCACCCAGGTGTGACGCGTTGTTGCGTGGCTGCATTGCCAAAATCAACTTGTTTGTGATTTATCCACACTTCTTTCATACATCCTTTGAAACTGGTCAAGTTCCTTAAATGCCACCGTGTGAAAGCTTGTTGTCCAGGTTCAGGTGGCACGCCACCAAGGAACATTGGTGCATTCAGTTTCAAAAAGTCCTTGCTTCCTTCATTGATAATAGACCGCGCCAGTCCTCTATCGACTCGCAGGGTAAAGTTCTTTTTAATTGCAATCAGTTCGGCGACATGATAATGACCGTCAGCGACCATTTCGAAGCTAAATAATTAACACATTAATGAAATATTAATAGCGGACTAGGTATGTAATTAAATTACCTGTACATGGTCGAGACAGGATAATTCCCCACGTCATAACTAACACGAATCCTTCCGTTGAATAATTCAACAGCAAGATGTTCCTGCTGCCCGTCGTACATTAACACGCCATTTTCCTGTGTCGTTGAGAAAATGATCGTTACATTAGCCTCAGGTTTAGTCCTTAAGGGTTCTAACTCCACGTATGATGTATTGTGGATGAAGCTAAGACTAGTTAGATATTCACACTTTTCCCAGAGTAACCCGGCGCACATTTGCAGAGATAGTCATTACTTCCAGAGGGTTGGAAGCATACACCATGCACGCAATCATGATGCTGACATGGCGACGTTTGCGGATACATCATCGACACCATCGGCATTATTTCACACAATTTGCCAGTAAAATCACCAGCGCATTTGCACTCATAATTATTGATACCATCGACGCAGGTTGCCCCATTTTGACACATGTGATTCTCACAGTCATCAATGTTCACCGTGCAGTTCTCACCCTTAAAACCTTGCAGGCATTCGCATGTGTAATACGTATCATGATCAACACATCGAGCATCATTTTTACACGGATTATATTCGCCGGAACAGAAAGGTATTTTAGTTTCGCATCGTTCGCCCATGAAACCCGCTTTACACTTACATTCGTAACTTTCCACCAAATCAATACAAGTGGCATTATTTTCGCAGTGATTGTGCTCACAATCATCGATATTCGTCTCACAACGAAGTCCTGAGTATCCAGCAGGACACTCACAACTAAATCGTCCTTCTTCCAACACTTTACATGTGGCATTGTTGCGACAAGGATTGCCATAGCAAGCATCTATCATAAACTCGCAGTTTTTGCCATGATAACCAGGAGCGCAGTTACAATGATATTCACGTTCGGGGAGTGGAACGCATCGGCCATCATTTTGACATGGAAAGGTGAAGCACGAGTCGCACTTGGCTAGAATGTCATTGTTCACCTTTTCTTTGCATTGGAAGAGTGAAGATTGTGTTGATAGAATCGATTTTTCTTTCATTGTTGGCGGTTCTGCACATCGAGCAATTCCGGGTTCAACGTAGTCAATCTTGACCCAGTCGGCAAGCCAACGCAAATTACAGTCACAGTATAATGGATTGGAACCCAAAGCACTAAAAATTTATTTATTTAGAAACCATTTAGGGAAAAAACATCAATTGAGAAACTTACATATGTGTGATCGCAGTTAAATTGGCAAAAGTGCCTTCCGGAATCATTGATATTTGATTACCATGCCACGATCTATCATAAGAAATAATTAGTAAGTATTGCATGAGGCATTCAACAACTACAACTTACATAATTCGCAATGACTTCAATCCTGCTAAAGAATCCCGTTGAACACACTGCAACCTGTTATAACTGATAATCAAAGTTGAGAGTTTACCCAAATTGGCAAAGGTGTTGTTAGAAAGAATACTAATATGATTAGTACTCAAATCCAGCCGTGTTAATGACTTCAAATGACCAATTCTATCAACCTGAATGCTTTCGATTTCATTAGCGTCCAAATACAACTCTGAGGTCTCAGCAGGAATACCCCTTGGAATTTCCTTCAATTTGGCTCTGGAACATCGCACCACAGTTCCAGTACAGGTGCATTTCGGCGGACAATAATTCTCGCCCAAACACCCTTGATCATTGTCACTAGTGCACTTGAATTCATTTGGTTGCAAGTCCTTGATCATAATATCTTTGACTCTAGGTGGCATGGCGCATTTTGCAGACGATCCACTTAAACCCTTGCTCTTTAGCCAATCAGAAAACCAGGCCAGATGACAGTTGCAAACGAAAGGATTCTGTACCAAATTCAAAGTATGCAAAGAAGCAAGGTGGTCAAAGGATCCTGGCATTACGCAAGTAATTTGATTGTTGCTCAATGAAAGTAGTTTTAAGCTGTGTAACCCAAGGAACATTTTGTTGTGGATTTCCAACAGTTTGTTTTCGGATAACAGGAGTTCCGCAATACGTGATGCACCTTCAAATGAATTTTCCTCAATGCCAGTGATTTGATTACGCCGTAAGTCGAGTTTCATCAAATTTGGAAGACGACCAAACAAACCATCAGAGACGATCTTACCCAGCTCATTATCATTCAACAACCTATAGAAAATTAACCGTCAACATCTAGTACAACAATCAATCAAGATGAGTATATTTACAATTCAGTTGTATATAGAGGAATATCCCGTGGGATTTCTTTCAATCCTCGACCAGAACAATCCACCAAAGTGCCATCACACGTGCAGCCAGAGGGACAAGCACTGTCGATCAAACATTCCCCAGCGTATCTTGTTCGGAACTCTTCCTGACCTGTAAATTATCATCGAGGCATCGAATCATGCAGACAGTAGAGGAGTTAAAGACATCCAACAACATAAATTGGACGCTGAGCAGTGAGTGTGTATGATAAATCCGTGTTAGTGTGTGAGAATGAACGATAAATGAACACCGTTACCACTGATAAGAAGTGGGAGTTGGTGCTTACCCTTACATTTGAATTTCTCGTCTTTGAGGGATTCGATCTTCCGGCGTTGCATTCGCTTGGGAGCGTCGCAACGCGCCATTGAGGTTTCAATTGGATTCTTGTGTAGATATTCGGCCAACCAACGCAGATTACAATCGCAAATAAAAGGATTTCTTGCTAAATGCCTTTAAACAAACAGAAAAAATCAATAAAATTAATCACTTGTTTAATTTAGTGAAGGCTTACATTGTTTGAATGGCATGTAACGAATCGAAAGTGCCATTCGCCAAGGACTGAATATTATTGTCATAAAGTGATAATAAATTCAGGGTGTGAAGATCCTTAAAGCTGTCTTTTCGTATGCAGGATATTTCATTAGCATTCAGCAGGCTATAATAATAATTAGAATTAATTTCATTCAGAATTTTAGCAAGATAAGAAATAATTACAGTAATTGAAGTGATGTCAATCCTTGGAATACACCAGCTGGTAAATCTTTGATTTTATTGCCATATAAAACACTAAAATCATAATTAATTAATTTTTCCATCATAAAATCTTAATCAAAATTTATCTTACAGAGATGTTAAGAATTTGAGTCCGTTGAAAGCATCATTAGCAATTTTCGATATTTTATTATTGCTCAGATCACTAAAAAATATTAGAAAATGAAGAAACTTCATTTCTATCATGTAAAAATAAACTTACATCCTTCGAAGTCGCTTATATGCAGTAAATGCACGTGAAGGAATCTCAGTAATGTCATTCTGCTCCAAGCGCCTACATGGAAAAAATAAATCATATAAAAACAAGAAAAACATTTTTAGATATCATTAGCGGAGGCGCCTCTGTACAATGACAAGAAACAGCCTCACAGGAACAAAAATTATGTGCCAGGTATGTCTTGATTACCATACCCCACGAGTCCCATAGAGACCCGCGTGCTATGAGGAGCAAGCACCCTTTTGACGCGTCTCGGGCACGGTACGTCTTATAATCCTAGACTGTAAAATTATTTGCTAAGAATTTCTCGTCCGCCATCTACAATCCAGAGGTCCAACTTATTGCCCTTGAAAACAAGTTCGTTGGCGAGTCTACGTTATAATCTAACAATTTGGTGAATAATTGATGGCGAACGTAACAATAAACATAAAAATTGATGGCGCGCACTTACAATTCGGTGGTGCCTTCCGGCAAGTAGTCGGGCACTTTGGTGAGCGCTTTGCTGCGACAATCCACCAGCCCATCGGCGCAGAGACAGGGATGCGGACATGCCGGCTGGCTGATGCATTCGCCATTGATGGCACGATCCACCAGACCTAATAAAAAATAAGTGGCTCATGAAACCTCATAACATGACGTAAAAATTCTCGTATGCGAAGAAAGTGTCCGATATAGACACGTTTAGGCACATATTATGCTTTTAGTACTTCATTGTTGAATTTTTGTAATTTTATGTTGGTAACATTGCTACCAGTAGCTCAGAGACACTTCTATCGCCATTTTAAGCTGACAAAATGGCTACTTTAGGAGTGGATGTTTAGGAACACGCGCTAACAAGTAGTTATGTATCGCAATGCATTATTTTTACCTGAACATTTAAACTCTTGCTCCTGCAAGTCGACGACGTTCTGGCCCTTCAGGTTGTTGGGCGAGTGGCAACGCGTGTAGAGCGCTAAGCGCGGATATTGTCGTAAATAACGCGCCAGCCACGACAGCTGACAGTCGCAGTGCAACAAATTGTCGTTGAGACGCAGCATCCGCAGGCGGAACATGTTGGCGAACATATCCTTGCCCAGCCATGTTAGGTTATTGTTGTTCAATGTACTGAAAAGCATCCGAACAAGAAACTGTAAGAAAATGTCACCGGACGCTCGAAACGCCGTAACTAAATAACGTTGTCCCGTTTTTCGGCATTTTTCCCTTTTCCGCCCTCCGTTTAAATCAAAAATATTTATCGCAACGACAGCAAAATATCAGCGCACGGATTTTATGGACGAGAATGTAATCGATGAGAAATGTACAAATAAAGAGAACGAAAAAGGCGCATTGAATGAAAATATTTTAAACATTTTTGCTTCGGGACCTTGCAAAAACATGCATATCTTAGTCAAAAATTCCGAATGTGCAAAAACAGGAATTTTCTACCTTTAACACGCGATATATCAATAATAAAAAGTAGTAGTAAAGAAAAACAAGTCTAAATTAATGAAAATTTATTGAAATGGAAAATCAAACTCACAGCACTTCCAGATCCTTGAATGTCTTGAATGCCTGATCGTCGACGCACGTGATGCCGTTGTTATCCAACTGGCTGTAAAATTTCAATCATTATTTCCATAATACACAACGTGACACACAACGCGAAGAAGAAAAAAAACTCACAGATTTTTAATGGCGTTTATTCCTCGCAGTGTTTTGCGTCCAATTACGACGATCTCGTTGTGACTCAAATCGCTGGAAGTTACAAAACACGTAAATTATTATAATTAGAATTAAAATACGCCCGAGAAAACAAACAATGCTAACAAGCAGCAATTAAACAAATTATTAAGTATATATAGAATATAAATAGATTAAAAATAGCGGAAACATAAATCAAACGAAAAATCCTTGAGAGGATGCAAAGCAAACACGTTTTTAGCGACACGAACATTTCGATCGTATCCAATTAGTCATTAATTAAGTCGGGCGTGAAATTGAATCAAAATAAGTCGCCTGCGATTGTTTTAAACTAACAAACTTACAGTCGCAGAAGTTTAGTTTGCGCTGAAAAGAGGCCGTCTGGAATGTGACGTATTTTGTTGCCATTCAATCGCCTACGAGCAAAAAATCCAAACCAAATTAACAAAACTTAAATTCAAACAAAAAAAAAGTAAAAAATGTACTTACAGTCTTTCCACAGAGATGAGATCTTGAAAAGCGTCTCTTTCAATGGTGTGAATTCGGTTTTCACTCAATTGCCTATGAAATATATTCATTAATATATTTTTTATTAACAAATTAATTTTTATACTCACAGTATTCTTAACTTAGGTAAATTTTGAAAATCCGTTTCATAAATGGCAGTGATATTGTTTGATTGCAAATCTCTATAACAAAAAAGAATAGGAATATAATAAAAACATGATTTTATGACAAAATAAAAATAATAGCAATAAAAGTTGTAGAAATAGTTGCGCGTAACGATAAGACAGTTTTTCATGTAGTTTCACGTGTTTTCTTTCGCTTTGTATTTTCCGCTCTTGCGTGTACTGTGCGAACGCAGTCGTGGGTGTTTTTTTATTCTTATTCTTATTCGCGGCGTTAGAGCGTTAATTCCAGGGCGTAGATTATTACCTCACGCGAGCGACGCCGTCCCCCGCCACCCCTAACACGCCAAATCTCGTGATTTATGTATTTCTTAACATGTTATTCCCATTTTCCATCTTGTTAGCTGCGTTTTTTTTTCTTTCTACATGTGCAAAACGCACATTTATTATGCCTTTACGCTGTTTGACGAATGTTGTTTCTCTAGCGTGTTTATTCGTCGCTGATTGCTTCTAATTGTGCGTCCGCACGCCTGGAAATCAGCCCCATCGACAGAACGCGAGCCGATCGTGCCTATTGTTACTCCTTGGCGCATTTAATTTTGCGCTGAATTTATTCACGCTCGGACTAATTAACAACTCGGCCAATAAATAATAAATAATCAATATTCGGCGGGCGCATCATAAATCGCGGGCGCGCGCTGTGATCATTCAATGGTAACTAATTAGGGTTTCGAGTTTTAATAAAATTATGATTTCCACGCTATGCGTTGACGGCGCCCAATCAAAGATCGGCAATCGCGATGAATTTTAATTAAAATCTCGCTCGTTCACGCACTTGAACGTTGTTGCGAGCCGCGGTACGCTTCTGCAAATACATGCAATATGTGTAAATTACATGCGAAGGTTTATGGTTTAATTAAATTTTAATTATGCGTCGAGTGTCATCCACCGACGAGTATACGAGTAACCTGAATGGGTTATATTTGTAATGATTTTTATATGGTATTAAATTATAAATAATTTTATTATATAAAAAGTGACAATGTTAATAAAAAATAATACAACTAAAAATCTATAATATAAAAATGAATCGCAAAATCTGTTGGTAAGCGCATAACTCAACAACGCCTAAACCAATTTGGTCAATTCTTTCTTTAAATGTTTATTAAAGTCCAAGGATGGTTTTTACGGCGAGAAATATCAAATAATTGCCGAGAAAACCCTAAAGACAGCTATTTTCCATAGGATAAACGTTGGCATTGAGATTCAATCATAGTTATAGTTAAATACTTGAATCCGAGATGGCGCGCTGAAGTGCATTATTAACAATTCTTTATATAATTAATTTTCTTAAAATAAAATTGCGAATCTTATTGATAGAATTGACACTGACTATGCATAGAACAAGAGAGTAAAAACGAATTACATTTTTATTAAACACTACCGGGACGATGTCGTGGGCAAAAGCTAGTTATTTATAAAACATTATGAAATGTACAAAAAATCAGTAACAGTGCATAAAGATCATAAAGAGAGGCGAACATAAAGACATAAATCTCAGATTGATAAAGTACATATATAGTTTTCTGAGTTTTCAGTCAAAAAAATCAAGTTCAAGTTCAACACTGTCATTTCCTGCAAGGTGCATGGTAGACACAGTTTGAGGTTAGCATCTAGAGTGCGGTACGTTTCAATTTCAAAATTTGCACAATTTTTGCAAATCAAATTAGAAAAATTATTGTTTATTTCTATTTCAATTCCCTAAATTATCTTTTTCCAGCAGAAATTTAAAATATAAAACTTTTTCTAACAATAAATTGTAAACTTCGTACCTACAACAAAACTAGTAGTAGCGAAAAAACGTAATAGATTGCCGGTGCAGGCAAAGCAATTTCGCTACAGGCCCATAAAAAATGCAAACAAAGTGAAATGAGACGTCTCGCCATGGCGGTAGTTTAATATTTAAAGTAATCTCTTTTTACGCCGCATTATGGTCCATATACTCGCACGAAATTGCACAAGCAAATCTAAATCGCCTTCCTCTTTTCTATTACATTTAACAACACGACTCTCCATCATATCTAATGTCATAACACTTACGCGCAAAAAATATGGCGGCGCTTTGTAAATCGTGACGTCACAATTGATGCCAGCAAGACGATTCGCGTGAAAGCCGCGATGGCGATCCGCGAACAAGTTCATAGTTCATAGAAGCGCGCTGGGCCTGCAGGTTTATCGACCTCGTCGTCTGCGCGGAGTCGGGCAGGAAAGAAGGAAAAGCCTGTCGTGACGCGACCCCACTACTAACACCCATGCAAGTATACGGTATACATATAAGAAATTACGTTCACACAGGCGTGCAATTGTGAGGGAACGCGCGGAAACGTGAGAAGCACACCAGCGCGACTCTCAGAAAAAGGTGAAAAATGAGAAATATGAAGAGTCTGAGATTCCGATCGCGCCAACAATCGGATTCTCGGAGGCCTCCTTTCACCTATATTCGTGGTGGTAAATTGATGTGCGTTATAATTGGATTTGCAGCAAGTTGATCCCAATTTGTCGTATTGCGAACTTTTCATAAATAAAATTTAGTTGTGATTATCAAGGTGAGACGTCGATAATAATTTATTTTTCTTGTTTTTATTTGCCTAGACGTCTTTGATGCGACACAATAAATTAAACAAACATATTTACGTATAGGATTAAGTACTCGAAATTAAGCGAAGCGTAAAATCTCACTAGGATGCACCAGGTAACTTCACCCTCGGTTAGATTTGTTTGTCGTCTTCACGCAAACTTCGTTCTCTGCATTTACATGTCTTAAACACCGAGCATAAGTACATACACTTTGTGCAAGTTGATAATGCTCTCAAATGTTGATGTGCGACGTGATGCACCTGGATGAAATGCAAGCGTTCGTGGAAACTATGTTAGAAGAATTCATTCGTTTTGTAGATGTATATGTGTGTGTGTATGCGTGCGGTAGCCGTGTTTTTTACGCTTTCCTCGTCGAGTTTCAATAAATGCGAGTATTTGCGCCGCACGGGCGGGTAAATATCGCTCGTTAAATAGTTATATCAGCTGAATTCTGTAGATTTATGACCGTCGCGAGCGCTTGCCGCATATTATTATGAATTTCGATGGAAATTGCAGCGCAAACACAAAACCCTTGCAAGCGGGTCTCTTTCGTGTCGCATGCGAACACCAACAAAACAGCGCGATGGAAATTATTGCCGTAAACTGCGTGTTTGCATTCATAATGAATTTTATTTAATAAAATAAATAACTTTGCGAGGAAAAAAAATGGAATAATCGTATTTACAGGTTAAAATCGGTAATTTTTTTAATATCGTGTATAAAATATTACTTTCTGGTATGTGGCATAAATCAAGATTTTGTATTAGGATATAATTTGACTAAAAACATTGCTTTACAATGAATTTTAACCATAAAAAAACATATTTTTTGATTTTTCAGAAAATTGTATTAAAATCGCTTAAAATCGTTTAAAAAGTTACTTTTGAGAAGAAAAAGAAAGAAATCATTATTACAACACTCGGTATATTACCTACTTGTTTAATCTGGACACTGCCGGCAATTTGTGCGTTTATTTACAAATATTTGCCTAAAAAACGCAATGAATAGATTTCGATTTCGATTCGATTCTAATCCCACATGAAACATTTACATTTACAATAACACAAAACACAATCGCGCATTTTTGCGCAATATAAAAGTAATAAACTTCACTTCACTAACTTCAATCAATTAATTTCCCCCGAATAAAACAAGCCAATGTAGTATGCGATAAACATTTTCAATAGCGTGACTAATTGTAACAAATTGAATCTGTTTTTATTATTTGTGTGTGCTTGTAAAGTGTGAAATATTGGATTTCATAAAATTCCGCATCATTTTTTAGTGTTTAATAGTGAAAAATTGTGCGCGCGCTTCTGGGTGGCAGATTTCGGCCCTGGGACGTGTGGCTAACTGACATTTATGAAATTATAACTGGCAGCCCAACGCACACACCTGAGCATTTGATTGTGAGCCGGGCTTGTGAATAGATGAATATATATGAAATGGCAATTTGCGTGCGGCGAAAACGTGCATGTGGATTGGCGATTAAATTCGGCGTGGTCGTATCAGGGTGTCGCGTCGGGTGTGATTACGATGATTACGTTTATGACACTATCACGACCACCGACGGACATACAGAACTAGCAATTCCAGACGCCATTGTCAAATGACGTGATAAATTTGATAATTGGCGCCAATTACAGAGCAATTTTCATAATATTTCCGTAGAATTCCTAACCGTCGTCTATTTTGATTAATTTACTCATTGCATAAGTGATAATCTAAAGAAAACATCAAGTTTTCTTTTTTTCTAATGTTATCTTATCTTATGGTATTTGTTGTATGCGTGCATTTCTGTCTCCGGTGTGGAAATTGCAGGAATTGTGAGTTTGGCCTGTTAGGGCAATTTCCCGTTAAATATTTCACTGTCGCTTCCGTGTTTCGGCGCTTTCCACCGAGGAAATCTCTGCGGCTTCCGTCTCTTTCTCCATCTGCCGATGACAGCGCGATAAATTAGAATATGCGGGCGCACGGCAAATGAAAATATCTTCGCCACTAGCAGACTAGCCTAATAGCCTAATGCCAAGCATATAAAAAACACCAGCCTGTGATTTTCTTTCATGCGTTTCGCGCCCCCACCGCAAAAAAGAAAGAAAAAACTATAACGATTCGCGTTTGTGTAATTTACGCGTCGCAGATTGCCAATGAAGCCAAACGACAAACGACCAAAGTTGACAAATCGCATGCTGGCGGCGGCGTTGGCCGTTTAAATTTCGCATTCTCATAAATTCGCTGACATTTCCATACCGTTAACGCCGCCACCGCCGCCCCAGGTATATACGGCTTCCATGGTTTACCCCATTTTTCTTTACGTTTAATATTCTTAGCCGCTAATGCAGAAAAATTGTCAAGTTACCTTTAAGTAACGTTCAAGTTAAGCTAAAAAAAAGTTATCATAAATCTCTAACATGAAGGGTAAA